GGTGCTCTATAGCGAGTACAACCCTGTTAGGGTTTGCTATATGTATCCCAACTGCTGCTAGTGAAATCCCCTCCTTTCTTAATTCTTACTTTTTACTACTAGATTTGACAGGTTGCAGTAGTCTGTCGCCGACTCCTGCTCGCCCATCCTAAAGTGAGTCAAGCGCTCCTCCAGCTGGCCGATGTATAGGTCGTCGGTCGCCCGGTACGTCGACAAGATGAACCGCCACACCTGGTGGACGGTGTCTAGTCGAAGTCGACACGGCTTCAGAGCAATCTGCACCATCGGCAAGCAGCAGCGCGAGATTGACCATGAAGGTCAGCATATGAGCCGCGCGGAATTTTGCCCGAAGCTCGACGTCGTCCTCTTCCTACATCACCACTTCGCCGTCGTCGAAACACTTCAGCCCGGCAATTTCCAATCAGGGCTCGATCGACTCCCTCCACGTGATGAGGTCTCGTCGACCTTCGAGGGATATAGTCACAGCAATCTTGTCCAACGAAAATTTAAAGTATCCGTAGGCTGGCGCAATTCCGCCCGCCGTCACGTGCGTAAACGAGCTCTGCCGCACTCCACTTCTCTGCGGGGAGCGACGTCGACCGTCAACGTCGACGTCGCCGTGCGAGTTGCCCGCACCCGCCGTTGACCGCTGCACTCGCGCATGTATTCCGCCGACTCCGTCGTCGGCGGCCCTGATCACTCCACTCATCCTCCTCGTGCCCTCGTCTCTGCCGACTTGGTCACCATCATCGGCGTGCTCGTCGACGCCCCTTTTGTTACGCACTGGTCGGGGTGAGGTAGACGCGCCGTCCGCTGCAGCACGGGGAGGTGGGTGGTCACGCGCCCACTACGCGCGAGTGCCTAGGAGTGCCCACTCCAAGGGGACCTCGCCGAACTCGCCAGCTGTATGGCGTCTCCTAACTCCAGCCTCTTGAGTCCCCAAAGTATCCTCTACGCCCGCTTCAACAACGGGTTCAACCATGGTGACTACGAAAGTTGCCGGCCTACCAACGAATTGGGCAATGCTACTCTGAAGGTGAGTTGCGGGGCCGTTCCACGCTCACCGCACCATGCGGAAAGACACTACACAACGGGAGTGGACAACGGAGGAAGGCACGGGGTTGTGCGGGTGATCGAAGCATTCCACTAGGAGTTCTCACTACTTGCTATGTTCACAAGGAAATATGGCAAGAATTTCACTAAGAAATTGAAAGAACATTAGATTACAATGAGGCATGCAAGTCGATATAGCTAGAATGGCATTACAACATCTAGCAAGCCCTCTGCAAGGCGAACTATGCAAACGCAGCAGAAGAGCGGCTTGCCAACGCTGTAGCAGAGTAGCCTGCTAGCGCAGTATAGCAGCTGTCTGCCAGCGCGGTATAGCAGCGGTCTGCCAGCGCCGCAGAGGCAGGTGAACTTCTGCGCAGGTGCACACCTACCAAGTTGGTGTAGATAGACGGACGCGCCGCAAGCACATTGCGCAGGTGCCAAGTAGAAAACGTGCCTACGGTTTCGCCAGCGATGCACCGTCGAGCACGTGATGTCGTTCCGCAAGTTGACTTCGCGAAAACCTCCTGGGCGACATTCGCCCATATGACGAATTTCGCAGTCGCGCGACTTTCGTAAAGTAGCTCGGCGAATTCTCCGTCGAGCAGCTCTCGCCTAGACGAGCCCGCTACCAGCCTCGTAGAAGAGCTCTTATACCAGCCTTGTAGAGGAGCCCCTATACTGAGAAGGGCCCGCCGAACCGAACTCCTCGACGACTCGTCGACCAGCGTCCTCTACGAGCCCGTCGACCAGCGTCCTATACGAGCTCATCGACCGTGTCCTCTGCGAGCTCGTCGACCAGTGTCCTCTGCAGACGCGTCGAGGTCGAACTATACAGACAGGTCGAGGTCGAACTCTGCAAGCTGGTAGAAGTCGAATTCTACGGACACGTTGAGGTCGCTTTCTGCGTGCAGTCTACGTCGACTTCTGCGCGCCCCCAACTGCGAATTCTGCTTCGTCCAAGCGAGGGCGGGGCCATTTCCCGTCAACACTGGTATCTCAAAGTCGATGTGGCTCGTCAGGCACAGACAACAGCCGACGGATGCACAGCAATGCAATTCGGGCCAATCGTCTGCGCACACTTGCGAGCATGCGCACTGCTGTCTTCTACGGGCCAACGCTGCACAGCCGCTCTGCTGGAGCGTTGGCATGCCGTCGACCTGCAGTGTAGGCAGGCCGCCTTTCTGCAGTGCTGGCGCGGCTCCTCTACGCAACGCTGGCAGGCGGTCGACCAAGCTGTGCTGGCGGTTGACCAGGCTAGCTGCAGAGTTGCTAGGTGCATGATCTAGTCATTGTTGTCATTGTTTGTTCAACCATTCTGAAATTCCAGCTTTGCTAGTCAAACTTTTGCCAACTTCACCCGTAAATGTGCAAGTGGTAAGGAACGCAAGCAAAGCTACGATCACTCTTAGTAGTTCGTGTCTACCCCCCCGTAGTCTAGCCCACTCACTACCTTTGTCGAGTACCTCTCTGCACAAACAACAACCGATGGAGCGGAGTACAACCTGGTGGGGCTAGGGATGAAGTTCCCTCTTACCGTACATGCCTCGGCCTTTTTGCTCTCCCCCACTCGCCTCATTCCGTCCTGCCTCCCCTCTCCCTCCCCTCCCTCCACTCTTCCATGAATCAACTATGGCACAGTGGATTTACAGCCGTTGGAGCGGAGTACAACCTGGTGGGGCTGTATGGGATGAGGTTTCTTGTGCAGTAGAACTACCGCCCCACTCAATGGACGTGCCTGGTTACCACCACAGTGTAGGCAGGGTTTTCAATATTGAGTCTCATGCTTGATAATTATCATCAGGAGCTTTACTCGAGCTCCTGCCCATGTTATCTCGGTGGTTTTCAATCATTACAAGCTTCACTCGAGCCCCTGCCTACCTCGTATTTAGAGAAATGTGGTGTTTGTTGGAGGGTCATGATTCCTAGCTCTTAGCATAAAGTTGATTTGTTGGGATCTTCGCTCGAGCTTCGAGTGATCAAGAATAATTCACACCCCTAGTTCAAACCAATAGAAGTACCATTTTGGGTGATGACGGTATGAGCTTGTGAAAAAAACCCCTAGTTTAAACCTATGTCTTCTATCTGGGCGATGACGGTATGAGCTTGTAAAAAAAAAAAACAACAACAAAAAAAAAAAACAAAAAAAAGTACCATCTTGCATCCGTGACGTTCAGCAATAAGGCATTTATTCAGTTATGCATTGGCCAAGGTGAAATAAGATGGCGTCCCCACGGTTTGGACGACAAGTGAGTCTGCCCATGCGGCTCGTTATTTGGCGGGATGGTGTCCATGGTGGGTACTACCCCACATGGACACCAAAGTGTTTGATGCCCGAAATTCGCAAATTCGGCTACAATTTCGCCTCCAATCACACAGCAAAAAGAAATTTCGCCTACCGTAGCGAGCTCTAGCATGAATTTTCAGGCGTATTTTTTGAAGTAATTCTGTTTGTTCGAGCGCTGACTTGACTTTGGTTTCTGTACGGGGAAAGAGTGAGTTCTCGATTTTTGAAACACTTTCGCCCCAAAAGTGATTCGTTCCCTTGCCCTTTGAGGGCACTTCCCACCGTGGTTTGCGGATGTTTTCGACAGACGTTCGATTGGGTAACCCTGACAGATCTTACGATCCATATTGATTGCACAATGGTGTCCAGACCTGGAGCCGCAACCATTCATTTTTCACAACATTGGAAATTTGCGAGTCGCGTGGGCAGACTCATTTGTCGTCCAAACCGTGGAAACACTCCCTAGGTATGCCCTAAGGATTGCATGCCAATTATTTTTGTTGGCAACAGGTATACTGGGACACCTACAGAGGTTACTGACACGCATCCGTCTACGTAGAGTCGTCGACATCCCACACCAAACACTTCCTGAGAGCAGTTTCGTGTCGTGGCGCGTCTTGTTCGGACTGGAAATTACCTTGGAAAGAACTCATGTTCACTGTGTGAAGGCCACGCTGGATCATCCTAGCCAGCCCCAAACCAGCCCAATCCCGCACTTTGCCGACGTGGTTGACTGTTTCAACTCCAGGGCGGGAAGGAAAGATTCACCCCGCGTCACCCACTTTTGTACGTGTTCGACTGCTGTACTGTACTTGATCTCGATTGCTTTGGGATTGTTGAGCTGGCTTGGTTTGTGGTTGTCGTGACAGCTTTGATTACAGTACTTCTAATCGCCCGTACTTCTAATCGCCCCCTACATCCATCCCCTTCAAACTTTCAAGTCCGAGAGCAATCAAATATTCTCCATTCTACATCCATTGATCACCCTAGGTGGGCCAAGCAGAGACCGTTCATAGTATCGCTGTGCTCCGTTCCTCATCCCTCCCGACCCGACAGGATTCATCTTTACTGTACTTGTTTTTATATTTTTTTTTTCCCAGCTCGCCCGTACGGCAGAGCAAGATAGTCGCGAATCATTGCATGCTAGTGCCCACCTTTTCGCCCTTGCTGACTGGATCGTCTCTGAGATAGAAAGGGAAGTCAATGTTTTCTTTGCGCTCGAATCGCGGCTGTTTCCAGGTCCAGTAGTAATGTTTGCAACGAGTGATAAAGGCCTCCCTTACCGCCAGCCTGGTTGCCTCAGCATCAGTCGAGGTGCATCCACCTACCTCGAGGTGCTTCAGATCTACAGGCCAGTTGCACATTTCCTTCGCGGCGTGAACGAAACTCGAAGCTCGTGTTTCGTTTCGTTCCGAAGGCACAGCAATCCTAGTATTTACTAGGTGAAGGACGCACTAGAGGTCGGATCTGTCAGCAACGGAGCAGCCAAGAAGGTCCTGCGTGCCAACTCTGTAGCAACCCTAAGACCTGCATTGAGGCAAATTTTGGAGGCTTAGAGGCGACTCCATTGCAGCGAGTAACGCCTGCAGTCGCGATAAAAGACTCTAGCCGCATTTATCAACTAGCAGGGCATATCTTCCCACAACCAAGAGGGTAGAACAATATGAAGACGGGAAACGGAAAGTTCACGTTTCTGCTCTTAGTACTTCTGGCCATTCACGCCTCGTTGGCTTCACTAGAGGAAGCCCGCACGCCTGTCGTGAACCCGTCGCAGTATGAAATCTTTTTGCAAAGAAACGGAGAAGTTCCCGAAGACCAGAGGCGTCAGCACACCGCGGAGGGCATTCTGGATGCGGAGAGCAGCGAAGAGGTGGGCGGCCGGCGCGTTCTGGTGGATACGGGAGTGAAGTTCGGTCTGTCGGCGCCGCCGCTTAACTCGGGGCCGAGCATGGCGACGGTGAACATGTCGTTCTACCGCTGGGAGAGCGTCACGCCGCCGCCCGTCGTCGACTGGCGGAAGACCGTCGCCATGACGGCCATCCAGACGCAGTTTGTGGTGCGTACTCCGCCCGTGGGTGTGTTCTGGGAAGTCGACTCATGCGTACTCCGCTCGCGCCTCCTCGGTCGTCTGGTTCCTCACAGCAGTTGATGTCAGCTCAGCCGCATGAGTTTATCGGCTCAGTTGAAGCTGCTCCACGGTCGTTTGTGTCGCTGCCGAAAATTGGATCGTCGTTCATTCTCACGATGTTATTACAACCCGTGTGTTATTTCTGCCTTGTTTTCGAGTTGTCGTGCCCTCTCACATTTACTCAGCCTAGACTCGTCGCTTCCTTTCCTCAAACCCCTTCCGCAGTGCTCAAGCTGCTGGGCGATCTCGGCAGTCGATTCCATCGCCATGATGTGGGCGATCGCCAACAACAGCACCGGGGCGACTCTGTCGCCGCAGCAGGTGTGCGACTGCGCGACGAAGCAGTGCTGCCAAGGCGGGTGGCCCGAGTGGGCCTTCTACTACCATCGCACGTAGAACTGAGGCTTCCAGCAGTTAGCTGGAAGCCTTCCTGGTGACTCCCGATTTCGGGAGTCCTGTCAGTCGGCTTTCAATGCGGGGGGGTAATTGTGGGGCAACAGAACCACCCTGCAGTCAACCTGCGCAGTGCCGAAACCAACCTGCGAGGCGACTGCATTGCGTAAGTTGGGAATCGCATGTCAGTTGGGGCGAGCATATCGATTTTGTTACCTTCCTAGTCGAAAAGCAAGCCCTCGCACATGCGAGACTCGAAAAGCTGGGTGTAACCAGGGCCGTAACAGATTTGATATTGTTGGTTACCACGTGATAACATGAATATTAAAAAAAGAGTTCACGAAACGGTTTTCGGAAATTTGCTCCACAAATGAGAGATAAACAAGGCAAGTTATTTTAATTGAGATAACTACACTACAGTTGGCCCAACATAAACTGAGAGTACATAAACTGAATATATAAACTGAGATTACTAAAAGCTACTAAAAAATCATAAACATAATCAGCCACATAAATGTAAATTGCACAATTCGACTATAAAACTAGCAACCATAAATAATTAGAAATTAGGAAACCGAATGTCACATAAACTAATCTAAATCTACATCAGCAGCAGCAGAATCAAGCTCCTAAATGTCCTCTACAATCCGCCACTCCTTAACAATAACATCTCCGAAGTAGAAAAACCCACTCACTAACGGGATACGAGCACGACGAATCCAGCGCTCAACCTGGGCCCGCCTCTTCTCCATCTCGCGGGTGTTGTTCTGGGAATCAGAAAACATGCTGCTTCGGTCACGTGACAGCATCTCAAACTCCACCTGCCAAGCAAACAGGTGCAATTGAATTAAATGGTAATTACGGTAAGGAGAACACATAAAAGAAGCCAAGAAACTCACCGCGACCATTGTGTAGCAAAGCTGATCAATGCTGAGGGAGAAGACCCCATCCTCTTTCTTCTGCCACTTCCTTGCAGCAGCTAAAAACGCCTCGCTACAAAACAGCTTGTCGGCCAGAGCATGCCACGGCAGGCCAAACTCCTCTGCACAAAGAGAAACATAAGTGGTGAGACACCAGAAATAACGAAAGCATTAGCAAACAGTGTACACGTACCAGACACGTAGTCTCGCGCGTAATCGCGCCGAGAGTCAACGGAGTCGTTCACTACTTTGCCGTCAGGGTACTTCAGCAGCTTGAAACTCGCCTTCCGAGATTTGTTGCCGAGTTTCCCCCGCCGGCCGTTGCAAATATCGTTGCACCTCTTCGCCCACTCGCCTTTCTTCCAAAAGTCATTAAATTTCCCGAAGTCTTCGGGCTCGAGGGCGAGGTGCACCACGACGGCCGCCTTGAATTGGTCTTCCTCGGGGTAAATGACACGGGCAGAGACGTCCGGGCCCCTGAGCAGATCATCGCAGGCCTTCTTGCAAGCATCCTGCGAATCAGAGCAACACATTTCGCGAAAAGTTTAAAAATGAAAATTAAGTAACAACCAAAGAATTGAAATAAAAGAAACTTACCTCCATGGTTTTCTCGTTGCACCAACTCGGTTGGTGCACAATAGCGAGAAGGTTCTTGACAGTCGTAGCTAGAGTCTGATGGATCTCATCCGAAACACGAAGACGGTTTTCAATACGCTGCATCA